ATATGCATTTAGGAAAATGGGTCTTGGTTGTGTCAGCCTGCATTCATGTTACAGCTAAAATTAGTTTGACTGCTTCAGAGCTTCTCGGCTGAACCATGCTGTTCCTTTAAAGTGCAAATTCTGGTGTGGGTGTTTTTGTTTAAATCTCCCCCAAAAAACCCAAACCCCAAAACAACAACAAAAGAAACCCATAAAATAAAGGTACATGACAGAACAGTAACACTAACACTACACTAAAATTTACTGTCCAAAAACACGAATCACAAAGAGTATAAAATGCCTGTCTCACCTGAGTGATGCATGAGGAGAGTGGCGTTGGCTTTGGCCTGTTGCAGTGCTGACACCCATTTCTGGCTCTCTCCCTCGGAGGTGGCCTTCAGGTGGTAACTCCGGCCTCCGCTGGTTAACACCAAGTGGCAGGTGTCGCCCACCTCGATGTGCGCCGTCGCCAGGGGAATTGTTCCCCGACAAGTGTGTGCCATCTCTGCCTGAGTCCTGAGGGGAATAACAGCAGCGTGTAATAGCAGAACAAAAAAAAAAAGGCAAGAATACACCAGCCTCTCTGCTCAGCTCCATGCTGATGTGCCCCATTTACAAAATGGAGCAGCTCCATTTTTGACTTATTTCAGTTTTAAAAGAGTCGCAATAAGTGTCATACCAAACAAGTTTAAGTTTCCCTCAGGAGACAACTCTGGACAATATGTACTGTAGGTTAACAATGACAGCTTTGCCTTGCATGACTTACAAGGCTAAATTTCTGTCCATTCGTCCGCCCGTTCGTCTATCTATCTATCTATCTATCTATCTATCTATCTATCTATCTATCTATCTATCTATCTATCTATCTATCTATCCTCTCTGTCTGTCTGCCTATCTATCTACATAGAGACTACATATAAAATTATATGAATACTATGTTATATATTATTAGTTGTATTATGCTAGGGCCAGTCCCTCTAGAAAGACTAGATTGCTGTTCACTAGATAGATATTTATTACCTTATTATATATAATAATGTAATAATTAATATATCTAGCACTCTATTATAGAATATAATACTATAGAAGACTTTTATGATATGATATTTCAAGAAATATGAATTTCCTGTTGGGATCAATAAAGTTATTCTTAGAGACAGGCAGCATCTATCTATTTATAGATAGATAGACGTAATAAGTGCTATTAGACACCATGTTTAAACTTATATAGTTTTTAACATCGTTCACGGGTCATCTCATTGTAGTTATGACTCATGTGATTTTCATTTATTTATTTATTTAGGCTGCTGTTACTAAACCTCTTCCTCCAGATAAGGTATGCAAAAAAGTTTAATTTCCTTTTAAATAAAACTAATTTCTGACATGCTGCTAACAGCTTCCATTATTATTTCTGATATTATTAACTGAGTAAATCACCGTCACCTGTAGTAGGACAGCAGGCCGTTACTGAGCACGAACCACCGCCTCTGGTAGCCCTTCAGGTAGTTGGTCCATTTAAAGAGCCAGCCTTTGTGGGTATCCACGGACGGGAGGTGCAGCCCGGGCAGAGTCGGGGAGGGTAAACTCTTCACCAGCTCGTTCATTTGCCCCTGTCGGCCGGTGCTCCGGCGGGATGGACGGAGGAGAGTCGGTGCAGTTTCAGTGGACTTGCTGCCAGTCAACAGCTGTACCGATAAGCTAGCTGCGAGTGAGCCAGATTATTGCACTGCAACACTGTACCCTTCGCTTAAGCTACTGCCTGCTTGCAGCTGTGTGGTGATGAGGCAGTGTGCCCCTCCACCCGGAGACACTTTGAAAATGTCGGCTGTTTCAGGAGCCAGGGCGGAACAACAGAGCATACGAAACTACTCAGAGGTTGCACTTTGACTGCGTGCAGGGACAGAGGCAGAGGATGTGAAGGAAGGGGTGGGGAGTGATGACGTCCTTCTCGCAGGGTTGTAGCATAAGGATGCGGGTTTGTGTGTGCGCGCGTGCGCGTGTGGCATATGGCATATTTCTACATCGCTGCAGAAAATCATTGCAAAACCACCGAATCACATTTACAGAAGTCTTAATTTAGAAATTGTTGTCGGGGTTGTGAGCTGAAACACACTCCGGAGGCAGAAGTTTTATAATTCAGAGTTAAAAGATTACTTCCTCTATGGGCCCTCAGGTGCACTGCGAGCGTGACGCCGAAAGAGGACACCGTTGCTTCTTTACGTGCCTGTCAGGGGCCGTTTCCAGAGTTTATTACAGTTTTTGCCCGTTGCCTGAACACATTTTGCAAAACTTTGCTCATTGTGCCAAAACCCTAAACACAAGTAAACATGACACAACACTGGGAAATATACCATTCACATCTGCACCAAATTGAAACTCTACTCTCAAAACCTAAACTCTGCTATCAAAACCTAACATTCCTTTGTCAAAATGTAACTCTGTTGACAAAATGACACATACTTGCATCATATGCAAACACTTACAGAGCAGGGGGAACACACTAGTCTACTTTATATAAAGCACTGCAGTCTTTGATTTCCATTGTTCATTCAGAAGGCATATTGGTACATATTCAGCTCGAAGTCCTTTGACCCTGTCACTGTTCCTCTCAAATGGGACTCTGTAGAGCTGCTTCATGGTGATGCTGTGTTTTCCCAAGATGCGTCTGATGGTGGTGATGCTCACATGGTTTATGTTGTTGAACACTTGCCTGTCTGCAAGTATTTGCTTTCGTAGCTGGTGGAGACGGATGGCATTGTCTGCCCTCACTAGGTCCACAACGGCAAGTTCCTGCCGTTGTGTGAACAGGCGTTGGCGTCCTCCCCCAGAAGGTCTTCGAGTCATTCTAGAGAAATACAACCACATATTGTCATCGGTTTGCTTATTTTTCTTACAGTACTTTACTGTATACACTGTATCATCCACTGTACAACACTGTACTTCAATATAAGTAATCATGGTATGTTTCACAGAAACTACCACTTTGGCTGCAAAAGGAGCATTAGCACCCTGCAGTATGCTGTACACTTGATATGGTGATATACTGTAGAACAGTACTATAAAACCATCTGAGTGGAGTAGAAGGCAGTGAGATGAAGACAGACCTGTTTTCTAGTTGGAATTTTCTTATTACAGATGCCACTGTGAAGCGGCTTAGATGTGGGTGGACTCTCTGCCCAGCTTCCCTCATAGTCAGGCCGTGGTTGATGACATGGTCCACCAAAGTTGCTCTTATATCATCAGAAATATGGGTCCGTGCATGGCCTCTTTGACCTCCTCCTCCTCTTCCTCTTGCTCTCCCTCCATCCATGCTTGCAAAGTTCTTGAAATGGCTAAACTGAGGGCTTTTTGTGGTTGGCTAATTGGTGTTCAGTTTTGCAAGTAAGTGCCTTCAGGTGTATATTTGAGTGGTTGCAATTACCCGATGTGTTTTGTATTTTGGATACATGTGTTTTCCAAATGGCACCCTGAAATTTCATTTTTGAACGAAGTGTCTTATGTATGAAATAGAGTGTAGCATGCAGGACCATGTGTGTTGCATAAAGGAGTAAGTGTGTTGCATAATTGCAACCAGAGTGCAAAGCAGCACTTTTGTTTAAGGTATGGGTACATGTGTTTGAGGTATGGTAACAAAAGCTTCAAGTTGTGTTACTTTAGTCTAAGCATGGGTTTATAGTGTTCAAGCAACGAGCAAAAACTGTAAATGGGGTGGGACTGCTTTAACAGATATTCAAGCTTATATGCAGTCCTCTTATTTTATATTGAGTATGTGAAGTAGCAGTTTTTGTTTTCTTCTTCTCTTCTGTTGTCACTTTCTGTCTTATGTTGCCTTCTTTGTGATTTGTCCTGTCTACTTTCATGCCACCTATATTGAATATAATCATAGACTTCCTTTATTCGCAGATCATCGTCTGCTTTTTGTAGTCCAGTGTTCTTTATATTCCTTCTGTGCTTCTGGATGTTTCATAGCATTTACATGTTGCTTGCTCCTCATTTGGATTGTTTGTTGATGGTGTCTGATTCCCTGTATGTAACCACTGCCTGTTTTTGATTAAACTTCTGGATTTTTGGACTCTTATTCTGTCTTAGAACAATAAGTGGGTGCTCTTGCTCCCGCAATGCTTACAGAATAACAGACCCTCTTATTTAAATACTAAGTAAATTCTACTAAAATGATAAATGCATGAAAATTATTTTTAAGATGAAGGTATTAATTTTTTGCATTTGCCTTCTAATTAAATACATACTCAGCAGCATTAGAACTGCCTTAATTCTTCACAGAATAGATTCAACACGTTGCTGGAAACATCCCACACAGATTTCGATCCATGTTGACATGTTGCTGCAGATTTGTTGCTCAGTTTTGATGCAGTTTTTATCTGAAGTCGCATCCAGTGTGGTCTTCTGCTGTCGTCCATCTGCTTCAAGGTTCAATATGCTGTACATCCAAAAGTGCTCTTGTGCATACCCTGACTGTAATAAGTGGTTACAAGTGTTTTCCTGTTAGTCTGAAGCAGTCTGGACATTCTCCTCTGACATTAAAAAAGGCATTTTCATTCAGAGAATGGGTGTTTTCTGTTTTTCAGTCCTGTATACCCTGGAGATGGTTGTTTGACAAAATCCCACAACCCAAAAAAATAAATGCAAATGCAGTGTGGTCTACACCCCTAAATGGAATAGTTTGCTGAAATTTGATTGGTTAGATTATTGTCTGTTGAAAAGGTGAGTGTATGTTTAAAGCTAGTCCTTTGTTTGTATTATTAGTATTACTATAATATACCACCAAAGTGACATATTATACACAAATAGATGCACATATTTGCATATATGCAAAATATTTCATTAAACATTAATTAATTATTTTGATTTATAGCTTTATTTTTCATAAGCTTATTAATCACTTCAGATTTTGACTAAAAATGACCTGAAGCAGGTTTTTAGTGTAATTAAACTGACATTTTAAAAAATTCCAGTAAAATGTGTGCATCACAGAGCCAGTGAAATCACAACAAACATTTTTATTTTTGCTTGCATTTCTTGGAACCTTTATTTAACACGTCAAAATGGTAAAATATTCAACTATTATTGTACAGATGATAATTTAAATAAATACCATGATTAATTATCATTAACAAATGCAATAAGCGGTATCATCAAAGAAAGAAAGACCTAAGACTTTTTGTCTTTTTTTTCTGTAGTATTTCAGTGTTTTTTCTTCTTCTATAGATTATAGGGGAGGTTACATTTAAATAAATGCATTAATAAGTAAATAAGCAAACAGCAAAGTTGATTATTTTCATTTGGCATCATCGCAGTTATCTGTGAAAACTTTCAATTTGTACAATCATTTCTGCAAAGTGCGTTGTGACAGCCTCACAAAAAAGGGTTGCAATGGTTTAATTTGTCTTTAAATTTACTGCCTAAAAGTATTTCTTTCATCACAAGGAGAAGAAATTTAAAAAACAAACAAACCCATTATTAGATATCGTCATAAAAAAACAACAACAACAAAAAAAAAATCTCTATGGCACTACATCAGGATGCTTGATATGGTTTTTAGACGCTGCTGTAACATCTGAAACTTTACGTTGCACTGTATTAACTGTTTAAATACCATGTTGTAAGTAATGCAAAAACCAGTTTACACAGCACAGTGTAAATGAAATATTTAAATCAAACCCAACTGGTGCGATGAGTAGTGCTGAGCAATGTTTCACCTACAAAACCCAAATAGCAGAACAAGGACCGCGAGCCTCTGTATACTCAGACGTCTGCTGGGTGCAGTAGTAAGGCAGTCAGCACAGCCGATAACATTTAAAAACTGTCGTGGTGAAAAACACTGCTACAAGAATGACTTTTAAATCAATTGTCTTGAAGGTTTGTTTATCACAGTGCGAATTGTTCCAACTTCCAGTAACCTTCCGAACTGTAAAGTCTGTTTCCAGTCATATCCGGTAATTCAGAGGTTTCAAAGCAAGCCGTCTTGCTCAAAAACGGAGGGCAGCAGGGAGAAGTCGAAGGGCACAAACTTGACACCGGTCCCGTGGTAGAATTTGTTCTGAAACTCCACCCTGAGATCAAACAGAAAAGTGAGAGAGATCACTTTAACAAAGGTGGACTAATTAACGATGAAAGCACACTTGATTTTCAACTCAGTATTATCATAACTGATGCTTTTACTTTATAGCTAAATAACAGGCATGATTATATCATTCAACTTATCTGCTGCTTTAATAGTGAAGACACGCGAGCTTCCAGTTTAGCTACATGAAAATAAAAGAACTGAAGAAAATAATATTTGCATGTTTTCATGGGTAAACAGGTGAATACATTCACATGTGTTTCTAGCAGTCATAGCATTGATTACTGGTTTGATATTATTATATTTGTAGTCTTCCCACTGTCTCCCTGTCTTGTTTGTATGCTCTATGTTATTACGTTTAGGGCTAGTCTTGTCTCCAATGTTTTCTTTTGTTTATTTCCTGTCTGAAGCTTTCTTTCACCTCTTGCACTAGTTTAACTTCCTGCTTCATGATTATCTGCCCTAACTGTCTTCAGCTGTGTGTAATTGCTTTCATTTGTGTCTCATTTCTCTTGTTTACCATCCCAAATTAATCCTCTGTGTACACTCAGCCCTGTCTTCCTTATTATTTTCACTGGATTTTCCTCCTGTGAGCCTTTTGACTCCAGAACTATCTCGATTCACAGCTGATTTTTGGCTTTTTGCTGTTTAGTTTATGGCTTGTACTTATTTTAAATTGTGTTTTTAGTTTGTATTTGGGACCAAAAATGAAAGGATGACAGTTACAGTCTACAGCATCATAGTAAACTCAGTCTTACACTCAACATTAAGGAAACTGTAAGTTTGCCTCTTCTTTAAGGCTCAATGACTCAACAAAACAAAACAAAAAACAACAACAACAACAATTAAAAAAAGTCCCTGCATTAAGACTTCTTAGAGGTTATTTCATGCCGGAAAAAGTTTCCTGACATCTTCACGTGTAAGTTAATGTTTCAGCTCTTGTTCAAAACCAAAAGCTACATCAACCAAGCCTCTTATAATGATTCACAAATGAAAAGGAGATTAAAAATGTTAGACAATCATTATTTCAAAAGATTGTTGATCATAAACTCATCACGAAGCTACAGTTACTGAGCTTTTGCCACAGAGGCCCACAGACTGGAACTTTCTCTAATCTGAAATCTGTGGACTCTGTACTTTCTTTAAAAATGCAGATAAAAATGCATCTTTTAAAACTTGCCTGGTAACTTTTTATTTTTGTACGTTTTTGTTGTTCATCATTTTTTGCTGTGAAGCACTTTGTGATATTTGTCTTGATAGGTGCTACATAAATACAATTTTTTACTTCCTTACATAATCAGGCTTATATGAGTTTTTAGCTCAAGAACACAAACAAACAGTACCACTACCTCTGCGCTCTTATACGAGATATTTAAACTCATTTGGGAAAACAGCCTTTTCTGTTGATTTATGACTTTAAGCTTGTACTGTTTTTGCTAATTGTGTTAATATTTAAGTATTTTAAACGCCTAGGCTTTAGGGCAGGAGTGCCAATCTCATTTAACATTGCAGACCACATTGATCTTAAGTGGGTCAGACCAATGAAACTCCCCTTTCTGTCAGTGTGAGGAAGTTTAACTACATATTGGATTGCTCAGATATCTTGATATATGAAAAAGAAGTGCAATTTTTACAGTCTATCACTGTTTTTTCTACATGATAACAAATGTTCATGTAGTAAATGAAAGACATCTGTCAGCAGAACTCTTTGGGATATAAATTAGAAATAAATGTGTTAAGTTATAAAAAAAAGTTCTGGTAGCTTATTGGTAATTAAATTGTTTATCTATACTTCATTACTTTGGTGTAGCATAAATGGACATAGGGGAAGACTTTGTCAGGCTCACTGAGAGGTTTTGGAAAATGTGAAGGGTCAAAATTTTTAAAACATCGCTTTGAGTGAGGTTGGAGTCTTTCAGGCCAATTCTGGCCCCAGGGCCTTATGTTTGACACTGCAGCTCTAGGGACTGGCACTGAAATGTAGCTATATTATGTATAAATATCCCATCAATGCTTTGGTTTGTGGTGTTGCTCATGCTAGGTTCATCAACATAAGTAGGGGCCAACCTACACATTACACCTACAGGAGCTGCTCAGTTGCGCATGCCATGAAGCTCCCAGTGCACAGTTTTTGTGCTGATGTTAATATCAGACGAAGTTTGGAACTCTGCAGTTACTGAGTCAGAGAGTGTCGGTGGTTCCACCGTTCCACTGTGAAGTAACACATCTTTCAGTTGATCGTGAAATTCAGCGAGCTCTGTAGAACGACCCATTCTTTCACACGTTTGCAAAAACAGACTGCATGATCATGGGACATGAATTTATACACCTGTGGCAGTGCGACAAAAAACATCTAAATTCAAAGGTTAAGAAGTATGGTCCACTTTTGTTTATATAGTTTATCTGTCTGTATGAAGAAAACTCACATACAGATTAGCCAGTGCAATAAAGAGGAGCACACAGCCTCACCAGTGAAGTCGGAGAGCGTGGAGGAACGCTGATAAGCCTTCCATGACGAGCAGGATAGACACCGTAAGCGTGGCGAAGAGGCCGAACACAGGGACCAAAAGCACTACACCGACTTTTGTGGTGATCCTGAAACCCAGGCGCATTACCATGTCCCACAGCACCTCCGACAGCTCTGAAGCCGACAGAAACAGCGCACAACAAACGAGATTTACAAAAATGAAGGCGTACCAAATGTCGAGAATTGCATAGTAAGCAGAAAGAAAGAGGCACAGGCAGCTCGTGGGAAGACGGCTTGACCTGAATGCACTTACGGGCATGAGCCAGGCTGAGTGCCCAGAGACGCAGGTAGGACGCAGTGTTGGAAATGCAGCCCAGGCAGTACTCTATGGTGTGAATGACCTGGTGCAGCAGCACATCTGCAAAGTCAAACTGCAAAACAGTTCAGATTATGTATAAAATATTAAGCCTAATTCCTACTGTTAAAAAAGGTTAGGATTTATTAACGTATGCTGTAATGCTGGTACTGAATTAGCTCCACTGGTGGCCCTGTTCTGCTGCCCTACTTTGTCTTGTCTAATGCTGAATACCACAGGTACAATTAGCAAGGTGGATAGAAAAATGAAGACACACTGAATCACACTTAAACTGACAGATTCCTTAATGTAAGAGATCATTTTTCTCTGACCTCTTTGGGAAGAGCTTCTCTGTTGGTCACTTCATCAAGTCCCTCCTCTTCATCATCATCATCATCATAGGATGGTGCTGTGGAGCCGTCATCCTCGCTTACGCGCCTCACCCTCTCATAACCCTGAGGTGTGGTAACAAATACTATTTTTAGGTACTGAATAAAGATCCAAAATAACAGACTGCGGTATTTTGGACTAGACTCACTCTGCGTCTGCGCAGCCCTTTGCCTCCACGGTAGAGCCAATACAAGTAGAGAGGTTTTCCGAACAGCAGCACAGGAACTGACAGCATCGCTATGACAAGTAGGAAGATTTGCAGGCCAATCTGTGGAAGCAAGGCGGCATGCTTAAACTCATGCTATAATGAGTATCCACCCGAATAGAAGCCGATCGACAGATTATTATTACCAGGACACATACCTGCCCTGGGTATAGACGAGCGATATCCTTCCCCTGCATGACAAACATGTTGATGAAGTGGATGAGGATGCTGGGCGCCTGGCTGGAGTAACGTGCATCAAACATCAACCACTTGTATAAAATCATGAAAACCAAATAGCCAAAGAGACACAGCAGGAAGAGCAGCTCAGGAAGAAACAGCAGGTAGACGTTGAACTTCTGTCGGAAGTGCCTGAAGGGAGAAAAAGTGTACAGGGATAAAAGAAAAAGTGTTATGACTTAATGTAAACAAAAAAATAAAGTAGTTTGTGAGTAATAAGACCATAGCAGGAATGCTATGTGTGTGTCACTGCCTGCACACGTGTGCTGATGTAATGCAAAACGGTAATACTGCAGCTTTTTATTGTATTCTACAGCTTAGTAATATTCTTTGGTTTCTGAGTTGCCACCACTTTAAATCTCAAAGATCGTCACTGGAATTCTTTTCTTTCAGTGGAGGCACTGAAAGAAAAGAATTCCAGGTATGATTCCTAGCCATCATCTTCCAGCAGAACTGTGATCACCAAACTTCATTACTTCTTTGTCAACATAGCCTGGTAGCAGATGATGATGATGATGATGATGAGATAGCCTTTATTTTTCAGTTGCAGTTGCCCACAACCGAGATGACAGACCTTGCCAACCGTACATACAATACACAAACATCACATTGGGGAGACAGGTCAGGCTAGGGGGAAAAAAAACATTGAAATGTGTAACACAAAAGGATAATACAGGAATGCACAGATATCAACACACCATAGCACAATAAACACAGACAAGCAACATGGGAAAGTGTTCCAGTGTGTACAGCTGATCTGGGACCGCTGCAATCTTCGATTGCGCCTCCAGCTGATCCGGTGTCCACATTGGATGGGAGGTAAGCATGGGAGGAGGCGCTGGATTCGGGGTAGGGAGGGTGATAGTGAGGGCGTATCAGTGTATGTGTTTCGTGCGTGTACATGTGTGTCTGTGTGTGTGTGTGTGTGTATCCTGTGTTCAGCTGAGAGAAAGTGTCACCACGCCCGGTTAAGCGTCAGTCAACAGTCTCCAGTGGACTCAGGTGGCCTTGAAGGAGGTACAAAGAGTTCTGACAACAATCCTGTTATCATGGGAAGAATTTGTTGTTCCAGTCAGCTTCAACCTTGGCAGGACTTCAGCTGGCACCAGGGGGGCCGCATGAGTGAAGATGGTGAATGTTTGGGTTTCGTGCGAACAACTGCATCCAATTTTTACAGTTGGTCTAGTGTCCATCACTGGTCACCAGTTCTCTCAATTCCCCTTGTTCTTCTCCAAGATCTTATCCATATTGCGTTCAAAACAGTCTGAGTACTCACAGCCCAATCGTCTATCATGTCGGCCAGCCTTATGGGATTTTGAACAGCTGTAGACGCTTCTTGTTCTTCGATAAGCCAGGTCCAAGCCAGCTCCAATTAGCCCGAACTCTGCAATCATGGTTCCAAATTGGTAGGTGTCGTTTATTGTCCTCCATCGGGAGTGTCACCAGACACACGACGCAACCGACCATCGAGTATCCGGCAGCAAACGTCTCCGCAGGACAATCGGGCTCTCCCAAGCCCAGGAGGGTGTCAATTCCATTACGGGACCAGTTGATCAAATCCATAATTCTTTAGGTTTTAGAGAACAAGACTGAGAAACTCTTTGAGGGTTAGAGTTAGACGAGACTAGACAAACACATAGAAGCAGCAGCAGGCAAGATAAGGGAGGGAGAGGGGAAAGATGCGAGAGCCAAAGAGGGAGATATATGAAGTAAAAACAATTTTCGGAGTCACTTACAAATGGTTGAAGACACTCAGAACCACACCGAAGCTCATGTGAATGACTCCGATGACAACTGACATCTTCATCTTGTAAGAGTTGAGGAAGGACAGACGGTTCACTGCCAGGTTCCATATCTGATGGTGTATTAAAAAGCATTTCAGTGAAAATGACAGAAGGAGGTTGTATTTTGAGTATGATGTCTAAGTGCAGTTACTCACAGGATCGATGCCAAATGGGTACGGTCCATTAAAAACACCACTGACATTAGGGTCTAATGTGAGCAAAGCATTTGTTTGGAGCGTTTTGTTTCTACAGAGTAAAAAGACGAAAATAAATTAGAAACAAGTAAAAGGACTTCGTGCACTGATATGTTTAAGTGTGCGTTTGCACTGATAACTCACGTCCACTGACTATGAGTGAACATAGCCTTGACGCTCCAGCCAGAGCCAAATATATTAAGAGACTTGGAGAAACAGTCGTTGTAAATGAGGCCGGTGTAGATGGAAAAAAGCCCCATCATCAGGATGATGTAGCGACCGCTGAAAAACGTAGCCCATATCTGAGAGCAATGAAAATGATAAGCCTAAGCTGATTTACGATACTCCAGCTCTGCATTATAGATGATCATAACAGGTCATTCCCACCTCATTACTGGAGCGTTTCTTCTTCTGCTTTTTTTCCATCAGCACCATCCACAAGGCGAAGAGGCTCATCACCATCCCGTGGCCGAGGTCACCAAACATCACAGCAAACAGAAACGGGAATGTGATGATGGTGTAGGGAGCTGTTGATGATGGAAACATGATCAGCTTATTTATTCTGAGCTCCTTTCGAAAGAAAACAAAGAGATGCTTTTGCTGCTATTCACAAAAACACAGTATGACTACTTCTTCTTACCTGGGCTTACCTCGCGATAGTCCCCCACCCCATAGGCCTCCACAATGCTCTGAAAACCAGCAGTAAACTTGTTGGATCTTAAGAGGGTGGGCGGAGTGTCAGTGCTCGGGATGCGATTTACAAAAGACGGTACGGTGGCGTCACCTTTTCTCTGATGATAAAAGACGTACAACATCAACAGGGGCATTTTATAGACCTGTGATATTCTAAACCTTTCTGGCCCTTAACTTCATTATTATAGTCAGGTAATCACAGGAACATTTGTTCTTTTCTAGGTGAGAGATTTTATATTAAAGCAACCAAATAAGCTGAATAAAGCAGGAGGAATGGTACAAGAAGAGAAAAAAGTGCCTACTGAAGCAAAAACCTGGAAAAACAAATGCTGCAGATAATAATGCCAAGAGAAAAAAACAAGAAACATTTTGTTTTACAGTACAGTACGCAGAGTCCTCGGGGAAAACATTAGTGTGATTCAAACTATTCTAACTTATTAATTTAAATGCCAGACTAAGGATAAAATTGTAAAATCTTACAATTTGGGGAGCATTAAAATTATTTTGCTTGAATAATAGCAATAAATATTCAGCGTTTAAACTCAGAACGTTGTACTTACTGAGCCTTCTTCTAGCGCCCCCCTCAGGTTTGCGAGGTCACTGACGGGACACCACACCTCGGCAATCAGACACTTGTTGGTGACATCGAAGCTGCAGAGGTTGAGGATGTGATAGATGGCTTTCATCTTTTTCACCTGCACCACCCAGGTATAGACAGATTCTGAGGCCTTCTGCAGAACCTGCCTCAAGTAGTCTTCAGTGCGATGAAGCACCTGCAGGAAACAGCAGTTAACTACAAGCCAGCTCTGAACTTGCGATGATTAAAAAGGGCTTCAGTCCTACATTGTTAAGGTCTTGGATGCGCGTCCTTAAGCTGTCCAACACATCGGCTCGCTCCTCATCATTCTCAGGGTGTGGATAAAGGTGGCAGTGGTAACTGAGGGAAACAAAGGCAGATGTCCAGGCTGATAATGATGGAGAATATAGTGACTATTAAAGGGTAAAGCTGGCTAATTCTTACCAATCGCAGATTTTTTGCACTTTCTGTCCAATTTGGTCTCCCCAGAACGAGATGAGAAACACCACACTTTTGCTTATCTCACCCTGAAACAGCACAGTTCAGACCCGTTGACACTAAAGTGCTGAGCTCACGCTAACAGAACACGTCAGCTAATTCTTACCTGCAGTGTAATTATTAGATTTCCTCACAACATTAAGACGACATTCAAACGACTTACAGTGTCAAGATCGGCCAGGTTTTCGTCCACTTCTGCATAGCTGAGGATGGTGTAACCCTTACACACTCTCCACAACATCCGCTCAAAGGCCTCCACCTTCACCCGCTGGATCAGACCCGAAACAAACCTACACCCAGGACAGATCAGGTAAGGTTTTGCTTTTGTTTTTCTTTTTAAAAATGTCCGTGGAGGAACTTTACGACATCTGGTCGAGTGGCTGTGAATACATAAATAATACGGAGCTCACCCGAGCTTGGCGCCGAGCCTCTGCATGCCAGTGGATCCTGTGACCGAGTCTGTCTCCATGGTGGGGAACTCTTCATACTGGTTACCAAGAGCCTCATGCTAATTATAAAAAGGAACATGTTTCATTTATGACGGCTTCCATCGAGTGCTCCTCGCACACTTCTAGCACACAAAGCTGATGTAATGTTCACACGCTGGACTGTAATGTTTACTCTCACAGCTGACTGTCTCACAGCCCGGGTGAGTCAGGTGGCGCTGGTAACAGCTGCACTGTGACCGTGTTATTAATTAAAGTCAGCATTAGTTCCAGCTCTGTCACTGAGGGAAATAAAACATGTCAGCGACAAGAAAACAAGATGCTGCCGGGGAGGCGAGGGTAGGCGCCTCGCCGAAGGAGCAAGGAGCAAGAAACTGATGCGAGAAAAGATCAAAGAGACGGAAACGCACTCACTCTGGAGCGGCTGTGGATGAAGGTCCGCGTGATCTTCAGCATGTGCGTGTATTCGGTGAGCTCGAGGAGGTTCCTCTGAAGCTTCTCTTTGTTCTTCGCCACCTCGCTCAGCTCCATCTCCAGCCTTTGAAGCTGCTCCTGAACATGACAAGGAACACGCCAAAAATCAATAAAAAATAAATGAATAAATCTACTCACAGTATTTTATTTCATTCAGGCAACCACGCCAGTGTGCAGGAAGCATGCGTGCAGCAGCGATGAGAGGCTTGTGCTTGTGACGCCGTGAAAGAGTGACCCATATTTGACTGTCTGTCATTTTAGACAATCAGATATGGGTCAGCTGTGATTCGCTCCCAACTGCAACAATCAACAGCAGGCTCGGTCTGCTGCTGAGGCAGGAGGATTCGATTAAAGGCTGCAAGCCTTGACAGCATTTTAGTAGCAAAAGAAGCAGTTCTCACATGAAACTGCTCACAACCCTTGTGGATTTCCAAGTAACCGGGTCATGATTTGTGAAATGGCACATTGCTGCTTTTTAAAAAATATTATGATCAATTTTGTCACGTTGTGCACCACAAAGCCAATGCTACCTAGTTTCTAGTTTATCTATGTGGAGAATATTTGCTTTTTGGGTGAGTGAACCTTTAGGTCTCAGTTCATCAGCTGAAAAACCTGTTCAGTTAAGTTGGTGAACCAGCAGATTCAAGTCAAAGTTTATTTCTAAGACTGCATTTGCATAATAAAAGAAAGGGTACTCTGCTCGACTGGACCCGAAAGGAAAATGAGAAAAGTAGGTTTTCAAAAGCGTTTTAAAATGACTGAGAAACTGGGCAGCTCACTGCAAAAAGGCAGGTTGTGCCAACACTGAAAAGACTCGATCGCCTCTGCTTTCAAAGCCTGGCTCTAAGAGGAGCTGGCTCGTACACCTCTGTGCTCTGGCAGGATTGTAGGGTTTCAAAAGTTTAAACCACTGAGACTATTAAAAACAAGAAATAAATTTTTAACTGGTTTTGGTAAATGGAGAGCCTAAACTGGAATATTGGGACCAATTTTCTACCATTTCGCCGCCGTGTATGCAGACGCAACCTTCACTTGAGTTATGTATAACACAAAACCCAACAACAAACGATGTCATAATGGGCTACAGGCTGAAAATAAATGAAAACACGTTTGTCATCAGCTGCAGTTAAGTTCAAGAAGTGAATTCTATTCACTTCTATTGGTGGGATCGCTGAGACAAACTCGTGCGGTGCAGACAAACTTTATAGACTAGCTTAAATATGTCTGAAATATATCTACATCATGATGAGATGAACAAATCGTTTATCCAGCAATTGATAAGCGACGAGAAAAAACAAATTGCTTTACTACAGTAGGATCTTTTAAACAGAGATATGAATGTTTTATTTCTTTAACCCTCTCATCAGGCTAAAATGGGCCAATGGAGTCATTTGTGATAATCCTATGAGTAGTTCATGCCAGGCCTGAAGCTCTGGATCACATACAAAAAAAAACCCATAGGCATGTGTGTTAATTTTATCTTCATCATATCAATGCATACAGTAAGATAGAAAAAAATGAACAATAAGTACATGTATTAATTATTTTTCTTTTTTTACAAGCTCAGTTTTCATCGTATGAGAGAAAGTAATTACTTCCAGATACTTTTAGTGTCACACATTGCAATCACTAAACTAAAAATTGTTTAGAAAAATGTATTTACAAACAACAACGTACAGGTAACATCACTGTTTGTTTTATCATTTATAATTTGTTCTAAATGCTATTTAGAGCTTGATAATCCCGTTACTCTAGCTAGTTTATATAGCAAGTCTCATCCAGGTTGATTAGGGCATCTACGAGGAGTTAGAGAATAGATATTATAGTAAGAAGATACAGGAATACTGTTTGTCCATGACTCTATATGTGCTTGTCATACCTATACAGTTTCCTTTATATACAACAGGTATTCCAGTGTAATTAATTAATAATAGTTTTCAATCAAAAAACAAGAGGAATTCTGGCTCCTCACCGTCACCTGAGCTATTTTCATCATCACCTCAAGTTTTCTGCAGCTCTGTTAGCCACTGTTCACAACAAAACATCACAATGTAGCGTTTGGAGGCAGAAAGTTACAACCCAATCAAAGCCTCTGATTAAAAAAACAAATGTCTAAATGCACTAGAGGGTCAAGTTCTGGAAAATCACTGAGTAGGGTATTAAAATGAATGTAAATCCTGCATTACCCCCACTTCCCAATATATTGGCATATACTCACCATGATCTCCAGGACCTGTCTTGGGGGTGGAGCAAGTGGACTCTCATCCTCCTGTGGAATGGCTATTTTAGCCTTCTGGATCTCCCTCAGGAGGTAGCCTGTGCACACAGATTTGCTGATTGTTTGTTTTTCATATTAATTACTACTTAGCCATCAGAGGAAGCGGTGAAGCCTAAATCTCTGAGGGCAAACTTTTTACAAAGCACAGTCAACCACGACTTTCTTGCTAAATTAACTGTACAGGTGCGTGCTCAGGGTTTGGAGCACGCATCCCAGGTGCTCTCCGTTCTTACCCAGAATCCTCTCCATCTCCTCGCATCTCTTGATTTCGCTGACGAAGCGCCGCTGGAATGAGCTGACACTCGGGTTGAGCTGAAACAAGAGGAGCATCACAAGTCAGACGGATGCAGATTACTGCATGATGCATAATAACATCATGGTGAGGTTCAGCAAAGTGATGTGGTTTTTTTTATATTATTAAAACTCTATCCTCCTCTTGCTGGCCAGGTATAGACACTGTATATCATCTAGATAGATGCCCCGTCTTGCTCCCCTCCCTTAAATATGCATGCATAATCAATTAAATCGGTTGACAAAATGCAAATACTCTTTAAACTGGTGACACACATCTTCCATTCACGCAGTGAAGTGTTTTGTCTACTTACATCTCGGAACTCGACCAGCCCCAGCTCTCCGAGCTCACTAATGCAGTCATATTCAGAGCCGGACTGCAGAAACAATTGCGCCAAGCACATCTCCTCACTCCTGAACACCATCTTTATCTGCCACACAGACAGATCCTCCTCCGCTGCCTCGTAATCTCCCCCCTGCCCCCCACGGTAGCCTACTGAACGCGGACGACGAGCCGTTCACTACAAGCGAAAACACGACATCGCAACAAATCAGCGAAATGAGCCCCTCAGCCAATTACCTCGCCCCCGGGATTAATTAATGCATCCATATTAATAATTACGAATAATTACGACAAGAGGGGGGGTGGGACTGTCCTCATACTGCGCCGGTTTGTTTTTCAGCGGGAGGGTCGCCGGGTATCTACTGAATAAAGAGCAGCAAAACAAAGGAAGAAAGCTCCCCGATGCACCTTTTACGCGGAGCGATCGCGGAGAAAGGCGTCATCCTGAGGAATCTTTACCTCTGACACCTGTCATCATCACAGCGCAAAAACACAGAAAGACAAAGAAGAAACCCGAAAAACGACACAACACAAATGGAAACGAGCAACAGGCAAGCTAGAGGATAAATTATCAACCCTTCACGCAGACAAACGGGGCTAAAGGCGGCCTCGCCGGTTAAAAATAAGCCACAGTCAGAAATAGGCTACGGCCTTTATTCGCGCTACGTCGCCCGGCAATTGACACAGATTGCGTCCCCCGGGTTGCCAGGTACGGTCGCATCCTCTGAAATAACCCGTCTTTCTCAGTTTATCTTAAAAAAAAAAAGCTACCTCGGAGCTCAGTAGCAGCCGGGTGACCTCACTATATACCCACTGCAGTAGTTTACCAGGCACAGGTATGATTTAAAAAAAAAAACCTAATATCAAAAATACATAATCATGAAAATAAGCTTTAAATTAAAAAAAAAGTCTCCTCCTCTTCTCTTTTGCTTAAACCAGGAAGGAGTGACACAGCATACGCGTAGCAGAAGGAAACAGAAAAATAATTACTATATATAATATTTATTGATCGTTTTGAATATATGTAATGTCCTGATGTATTAAAACGAATAAGCAAATTAATTAAGCTAATTATTTGCTGTATAGTGACTGTAAACTAACAGTGGGGAAATCATGCTCTGTGTCTGATTTGTATGAATGTGAAATATGAAGGAATATTACTCGGTCATTTTATCTGTGGTGATTGTGAACACCCCCATCACAATTAACGATTATATATATATATATATATATATATATATATATATATATATATATAAACAAACCCCTTCATTCTTTTGTCTCTTGAATGGCAACTGTTTTTTTTTTTGTTTTTTTTTAAAAAAGGGGGTTAGCTCACAAACCTGGCAACCAGCGCATCTTCTTATTCGGTTCCACCGCTGAAAACCGACCGACCATATGCTTTTCTTTGTATGTGAAAGTCTTTCTTTGGGCTGTTTTCGGGCGGTGATTTGAACGTTTTTAAAAATAGTTTTAGTTTTGATAACTTTTTCCAGAGGATTTGAATGCAGCCAATCACCTGCTGTAGCACATAATCGATGAGACACGCACAACGTGACTCAACACTAATGTCACCTGTGTGATGTTTTATAAGAAGTAAGAAATCATGGAGTTATCATCTTGCAAGCAGGGACTCACATATTACATTTACATGTCTTTGTTTTTGCACATTCTCATACAACCACTTTATAAACCAGAGATTCATCCATTAGAACTTTCAGCATCGCACTCAAAATCTCAGAAATCCTCATAGATGGCGAGACAAGCCGTTTCCAGTAATTTGACAGACAGCTGTCAGATAGTGAGAAGAAAGGTGGTTTTGGCTGCTCCCTTAAACCCAAAAGATCACCATAGCGGATGGATCCGGGCGCTAAACTTGTAACTGGGAGCAGCTAAGGTTGGATTTGTGTCTCCTGTTAGTGACAAACCAGGGACGTTCACAAATAACCACTATAATACAGATATAATACAATACAAAAGCTGTCATAACACAGTTCATCCGGTTGAGCGGAGCCACTGCTTACAAAACAGAGAACGCAGTGGTGTCGTAACAAGGTGTGGAGTGTTTTGTAAAGTAGATTGTGTCGGTCCATCCTCTGCAGCTATAACAGCTTCAGCTCTCTTGGAAGGCTTTCAACAAGGTTTAGGAGTGTGTTTATAGGAACTTTTGACCATTCTTCCAGAAGAGTATTTGTGAAATCAGACCCTAGGTCAGATTTATGGAAAAGAAAAGACAAGCTGCTTGGCTCTGATGACCCATATGACATGTTCTCATCAGTGGGGGAGGCAGAAAGACAATAAACAAGATCCAGGAAAACGTGCTAAACATTACGTGGCCGAGTGTGTCCATGTGTGTCTACTAAGGCACTCTATTGTACAGTAAAACAATATATTAAGTTTATTCTTTGATCAAATGGGCAGAAAAACAAACCAACCAACATGTCATGACTGTGCATCTTTTGATCTCCTCAGAGTCTTATGGACAGGTGTCTCCTGAGTCCTGGAGTTATGTTGTATGGAAAACTGAAAACTGGTAACTTAGTCTTTAGATACACATACAATTTACAATTACTGTATTTTTTTAGAGCTCCATTTTCCATATAGGATTGTTGCATCAGTCAATATGAATAAATGGCTCTTCTGAATGTTTGTAAATGCAGATATGAGCTCACAGCAGTTTTGCTTGTTTTCAGCAGAGCTCATTCACCTGCAAGATAAAAGCTGGTGCTTGCGTCCTCTGTTTGGTAGTGTTAGTACTACACAAATAGGTGACAGTGGTTCTTTTCACACATACAAGATTTCAAGAAGAGCACATATAACGTTCATGGTGTGATTTTCAAGTCTTCAAACTCTGAGCCAGTCTGTTGAGCTCCTGTGACAGAGCGGTGACTGTATCCAGGATCTTCTGTTTGTCCTTCTCCTCCAATCGAGCTTCACATCGCTGCGCGAATTTATCGGGGTGCCACAGCGCTTGCTGCTTTCGAAGCGCTTTGCGAAACGCCGGTACGTCCTTTCGGTCCACACCATGCAGCATGACCTCGATCATCTCCTGGACCGTACCTCTCGGAGCCGGCCAGGGGATGTCACCGAAGCTCAGCTTCGTGCTGCCTGCCGAGGCGCCACCCTGAAAGGTCGCCGCGCACCTCTCATCGTACTGTCGCTTCTTGCCACGCTGAGTCTCCTCCTCTTTGCGAGCTGCACGAGCCAGATATTCTTCGTGCTCCTTCTGCAGCCTTTTGTGCAGCTCCTTGCGGCTTCGCTCTTCTTCCTCCATCTCTCGTTTACTCTTGCTTCTTTTCCACCCAGAAGATGAGGCCGCAAGTCTCTGGGCCTGGGTGTGTTTTTTATCATAGTATTCCTTCCGGATGCGATCAGCCCAGTCCCCAAAGTCTTCCTCGTCATCATCAACGGGAAGAAAGTCATCAGCTGTGAAACAAATACAGCAGTGTTATCAAGCAGAGAGAGAGAGTTAAACTCAGATTCATCTGTGATGTTTAGGATTTACCATCATATACTCCAAAGGTTTCATAAAATTCATCCTCGCATTCGTCAAACAGCTTCTCCAGGAATTCCTTCTCAGGGTCTGCTTCACGTGGATGGCTCATGTTTTCTTCAGCCTGCGATAAATGTCAGGGGAAAAGTGTAAATATTACTGAAGACGCAGGAAATCAATGTGACATGGGTAATCCAACACAGCAGAGCTGAGCTCAGTTTATTCCAACTCATCACCAATTCATCAGTAATGAGGTCTGGCTGTGCTGAGCCAGAAACCCTCACACACTCACCCTGCATTTCCTCAAATCTAATCTTAGGGTAATGTTATGAACCATGTAGCTTTGAGCTATTTATAATCCCATGACTCAAACAAATTCCATGACAACACCTCCTCTGTGATCTTCTTTTCCTCCTGCATGGCAGCTCCATACTCAACATCTTTAGTCCAGTGTATCCACCATCTCTCCTCTGAACAAGTCCAAAACATCTCAGCCATGCTTCTCTAACTTTGTCTCCAAATAGCTCAACCTGAGCTGTCCCTATGATGTTTCATGTCGACACTGGTTACTCTCAGTAAAAGCCTTCACATCCTCCACTCTGTCAGGCTTTGGATGTTTAAACACAGATATTTAAACTCATCCACTTTCACCACCTGTCCTCCTTGCATGTTACATGCTTCATATCTTTGCTGTCCCACCTCTGTGTCCCATGTTTAGTTTGATGGGATTTGGTTATTCCGGTTTCAGTTAATAGATTCAAAGACGCAGTGATAGACAAGTTTCAGTCATAGTTTCAGCTCACTTTTACCTCTGGATGTTTCATCCAGTTCAGCAGGTCTTGCGGTGTGACTCCGGCTCTGTTTTGGACGTTTAGGGCTTCAGGGCAGCGCTTTCTCAGAGGCACCACCAGGTCATCAAACGCTGAAAGAGCCCCCCAAAAAACACAAAGTTAACAATTAGCAGCGGATAAAGCTATTTATTTAATTATTAATGTTAATTCTCCAGGTCCTCCTCACCCGTTTTTCCGTGTTTAAGAGCTCTATTGGCCGCGACGTGTAGTGCCGTGTCCCCTTTGCGGTCCCTCTGGAGAACATCGGCTCCGTGTTTCAGCAGAAGCCGCAGAACAGCATCGTCCCCCTGACAGCAGGCCAGGTGCAGCGGGCTCCTCTGCCTCTTACCCTGGGAAAAGTTCACGTCCAGATCCGTGTGTTTCCGTAGGTATGATTTCAGTTTCATCAAACTGCCGTCGTTCACGTACTTCCACACCCGCGTCTGTTTGCGGGACACCATTACTACACACAAACAAAGGCGAAGCTAATGCTTAGTTTTCGCTAACAGGATTCGGTCCGTCTTTTTAATAGGTCCGTAGTTAGCAAGAGCACAGACACAGGTTCCGGGGACAGATAATGTCCTGTGTTACCACAAGATGGCAGCATTAACTATGAAAGTGAATGCCTGCCATTTAATGGGATTATTTTTAAATTACATTTATTATAACTTGCATTGCTGCTAAGAAGGTCGGATCGAGAATATGTTTGTCTGGGATTAAGGTAACGTAGTGTAACATGCAGATAAAAATAAATAAACTAAGCAGGTTACAGGTCTGCCCCTCATCATGTGAAGACAGATATATTGTATTGTATTTCAGTGCAATGTTTCCAGCTTCTTCACAAGGCAAATAATGAGCATTGTCATGCATTGGCCTTCATACATTTCTCTCCTTTTCCATTATCTGCTAGTCTGTCTGCCACAATCCTCTTTGCACTTGTGTTGAATAGGAACCAGACAGTCTCACGTGACACATAAGGAGGTCACCCCAATTACTGCCTTTTAAAAATGCGAAAAACAAATCTCAGGAGTCACTTTCAGGAACCACGTTGCAGGTTATATCAAGATGAACTAAGGCGCCACTCAGTATTCATCCCCCTTCTCTTTGGGTTTCTGTGCCTCAGCCTGCTTTCATCATGGCACCTGTCCGGAGGTACAGCGCTCAAACTCCACTGTGCCCTGATAAAAGCTTTGCCACATGACTTTGCACGTTGTTTTGAAGTTTGATTTTATGTCCATAACTATGACTAAACCTTGAGCAGAGAAACAACTGTTCCAGCTGCCTGAAAGCTGCCCGACTGTATCTCGCTGTAGAGCAGGGCCTGAAGCATGAATGAAGATTCTTTATTCAGAAGCACCACTTC